CCCCCCCCACAAAATCCGTCTATGGCTAGCCCCGTGTATGTTTGCAAAACTTGATGTTATATTTGTTTTCCAGCCACACCGGACATGTTAACTGCGAAAGAGCTATTGGTGCTGGCTCCATCACCTGACGAACAGAAAGAATGGGTATCTTATCTCACGAAAAAGATTGTTCCTAAACACAGACAATCACCAAAGTAAGTGTGCTAATCCTACAGCACATGTTTTGTTGGTTCAAGTTCAAGTCTTTCAAAACAAATATGGACTTTATTCTTGTTGTTCAAGTTTTCCTGTGCATTGTATGCGAAACTTTCTTAGTTAAATTGACTTTTGTAGAAGTTCATGATAAAAAGGAAAGCAAATTATTTTCATTAGTGTCCTGTAAGTCGAAATTTTGCAAATATCACGCGTTCATGATCTATACAAATAACGTAATGCTATTGGCTCGCTTAAGTCACGTGCAAAATTCTGATTGGCTAATGATAAAAAGGCAATTATTTAGTTCTGAGCGACTATGGTAATTGAAAAGCACTTAAACATTGCCTATGTTGCACGTAGTGAAGAAACCAGCTGGAAAAGATGACATCGACAGGGTCAAATGAGTGAAATAGTGTTTGTTTTCGAAGACCGGATTGAATTTGAAGTCGCAGTGAATGACTAAATTGAGATTTGCCGAGATGCTAGCTTTTGTGAGTAATTTTTGCACATTTATCGAAGGTGTTTATTGATGTTTATAGATTTAATTGCATGAATTCATTCAATTTGTATAAATTCAGTGGAATTTTCGAATATTTTCGACATTTTAAAAACTAATGACGTAATTCCGTGCGTCTGTCCTCAAATAGATCATGGCTCTCGACCAATGAAATCGCACGAATTATTAAGCCCGAATTTCGCGATTCGTGTATACAGTCGATGTATATAATGAATATATACGGTCTAAATAATATTGGCACTTAATTGACCATTTGCGTAATGGACTAAATTTTGATCTAAACAAGTCTAGACAAAACTTTCATCACAGCTTGAAAGAGCATCACAAAATTAGTAATATTCCAAAGTTTCGTTGCGAAATGTTGTAAAATGCGGATAATATAGCCTTGCGAAATTTGCAGTTTTCAGTCATTTTAGATTACAAACGGGAAATTGACAGCCCCAAAGGGTCCCCAAAGGGTTCAATTTCCCGTTTGTAATCTAAAATTACTGAAAACTGCAAATTTCGAAAGGCTATATTATCCGCATTTTACAAATTTCTCAACGAAACTTTGGAATATTACTAATTTTGTGATGCTGTTTCAAGCTGTGATCACGGTGGGAAAAAAAGACAGCAAATTGGGCCAAGTTTTTATAACTTTCTGACTTTAGTTTGGAATATCACGAAACTTCCTCACAGGATAGAACTTGCCATCCCTAAAAATCGTACATTTTTGTTTTTCGATTTTGTTACATTTTGGCGGGAAAATGACGTGTCAACTTTGGCGCCAAAAAATTAAACCCGAGCTAAGAACATGCTAGTAACTTTTTTGATGAGAATGTCCTATAAGGATCTCAAAACTGTAAAAACATTGAAAAATACAACAAGGCAGTGCGAAGATATGGCGATTCAAAGTTCGAAAAAAATCTATTTTTAGTAACAAAATGGCCGATTTTTCAGACCTTAAGGTGGCTCAATACACTTTTTAGCCAAAGGAGCAAAAGTTGAATATTTTCTGTTTAAATGCTTTTACAGGGTTAAGTTTTACTTATAATTGTAACACATAGTAAGACGTGTCGCAAACAAGAAGAATTCTGATAAAAGTCGCGTTTCCATGACAACTATAACGAATAATGGTAGCACTAAATAGCCGAAAATATCGCAGTTTTTCGAGTTTTTTTCGAAAATGAGTTCGGTGACCCCAATTTTTTTTTAAATAAATCAGTTACGTTAGTGTCGAGAAACATTTCTGGGAAGTTTAAAAAAAATCTGTCGACTCAATTCTTTAGAATTAAATTTCGACTTTTTTGACAGTTTCTGTCGACAATTTTTTTTTATTTTTCCATCATGAAATCTTGAAGCATGTATCTACTCATGTACAAATTTTCAGGGTACCTTACCGAACTCGTTTTGGAAATAATCACGGTTTTATTCCGCGCGGCCAAAGTTTTTCACACTCTGCAAGATCAATGAATTGACATGCGCGTACATGTTTTCGCAGGCGCATCTCCAGAAAAACACGCACAAAAAAGTTTTTAGTCTCGTCGAAATATCAAATATATATTGTGTTTTCTTGCTTAGAAATGCAAATATATTTGGTTTTTCATGCTAACTCGGGATAACGCCAAGAGAACAGGTGATTGTCGGTCGTTTGGTATAAGATATGTGTGACATGTATGAACTTTTTGGCTTTTCTACATAGTTTTATATTCGTTTTCAGTCGTAACTTGTGTGTTTTCATGTTGTTGTTGACAAGTTAAAACAGTTTGAGCCGGCGCATGATGCTGTTTCACTGAATTCCTTTGCTGTTAGTAACACTTTGAATACATTTACCAGTTGTAAGTACAAAAAAACTCTGGATATGAACTTATAAATCGCCAAATATTGGAGTAAAAAACTTTCGCCGGTCCGGGGCCGATCGCCAGTTTTCACAAGAGTTTGAAAGTTGAACATTGCATTTTTTTACCTTAAAATGTCTTCTAAAAAGACTAGTTATTCAATGTTCAGAGCTAAATCAGGACGAAGTTTGTTCTTTGAGAACAAATGAGAACAAGGAAGACTCAAAACATCAAAATAAACATGACTTGTGGTTCGGATTTTATACTGAAAAAGTTGTATTTATTTTTGGATATATTTTTAACATTTTCGCGCGA